TGCAAGTGCCAAAAAATATGGCTGGGAGGGAGCTGGAGCGTGTTCCCGCTCTCCACGCAGCAGCCCTGGTTGGCAGGCACAGAGCCCCGCCGCAGGCACCGCACGCCCAGCAATGCCAGTCCCACCAGTGAGACGGTGGAGATGAGCACTAGGGACACGATCAGATAAAGTGTAATCGTGGGTAAGCCCCCACCATCGGTGGCCCGAGCCTCGGAGCCCTGCAAGGCCTCTGGGCCCTTCTCCTCCACCAGCACCACCAGAGTGACAGCTGTGGAGAGCGGGGGGTCCCCAGCATCCCGGACCACCACCAGCAGTTCATGTGCAGAGGCATCCGTCTCCTGCAGAGCCCGTGTGATCCGTATCTCCCCGGAGCGCAGGGCCACACTGAAAAGCCCTGGGTCTGTGGCTTCCACGAGGTGGTAGGAGAGCCAAGCATTGCGTCCCGAGTCTGCATCTATTGCCACCACCTTGGTAATGAGAGCAGGAGGGGTGGTGAAGGGGGAGATGCGGAACTGGGTAGCAGAGTCCTCCCCAGCCCTGGGGAAATGCACCTGTGGGGCATTGTCATTCTGGTCCACTATAAAAACGTGAACCGGTGTCCTGTTCCTCAGGGCTGGGGAGCCACCATCAGACACCTCCACATGGAACTGGAGATAGGTGGTTTGCTCATAATCAAAGGGGAGTTTGGCAGAGACCTGCCCGCTTGTGGGATGTATGGAGAGGTAGCGAGTCGCATCCAGGCCTGGATCTGTCCCACCAGCTCGCAGGATGGAGTAGGAGAGGCGGGAGTTCTGCTCCGAGTCAGGGTCGGTAGCAAAGACAGTAACCAGCACGCTGCCCACCGGGTTGTTTTCTGCCACCAGCACTTCGTAGGACGCTTGCTCAAACTGGGGCGCGTTGTCATTGACATCTGCCAGGGCAATTGGCAAGATGGTGTGGCGGGAGAGTGGGGGACTGCCCAGGTCCGAGGCAGAGATGGTGACATTGTAGTAGGCAATATGCTCCCGGTCTAGACGGGTGCTGGTTAGAAGCGAGTACTGGTGCTCATAGTCCTTACGCAGCTGGAAGGGAAGATCTGGAGACACGTGACACTGGACCTTGCCTTGCTCACCAGAGTCCCTGTCTCTGACGTGTATCACAGCCACCACTGTGCCTGGGGGTGCATCCTCGCTCAGGGAGCTGGAGAAGGAGGTAAGAATGACCTCGGGGGCATTGTCGTTCACATCAGTGATTTCCACTACCACGCTGCAGTGCTCCTCCATTGTGGGTGACCCCATGTCCTTCGCCTCCACTTCGATCTCATACACTGTTGCCTCCTCGAAGTCCAGGTTGCCCTGGACACGGATCTCTCCAGTTTGCTCATCAATGGCAAAGATCTGGCGTAAGGCAGCTGAGTTGTGGCTGCTGAGGGAGTAGCGGATGTCTCCGTTGGGCCCTTCATCCACATCGGTGGCATTTAACTTCACCACGAGAGTGCCCAGTGGCGAGTTCTCCACCAAGCGGGCTCCGTACGATGGTCTGTCAAAGACTGGGTGGTTGTCATTGGCATCCAGGACCTGAATAGTGATGCGTGTCTTGCTGGACTTTGGGGGAGAGCCCCCGTCTTCGGCGGTCAGGACCAGGTGGTGGAAAGCTCTGAGTTCTCGATCCAGGGCCTTCTCCAGCACCAGCTCAGGGAACTTCCCACCATCTGTGCGTGCCTTCACATTGAGATTGAAGTTCTCATTTGCACTCAGGTGATAGGTCTGCAAGGTGTTAGTGCCCACGTCAGGGTCCTGAGCAGGCTGGATGGGGAAGCGGGCGCCCAGGGACGCCAGCTCGTAGATGCGCAAGGAAACCTCGTCACTGGGGAACTCTGGGGGGTTGTCATTGATATCCAGGATCTCCACCTCAATGCGGTAAAACTCCACCGGGTTCTCAATGGCAAGTTTGAGGTGGAGGAAGCAACGGGGGTTCTGCCCGCAGAGCTGCTCCCGGTCTATCCGCTCGCTGACCATTATAACGCCGGTGTTCACATTGACCGAAAAGTACTGGGAATCCGAATCGGACAGTACCTGCAGATTAGCTGCCGCCAGTTTCGCCACATCGGTGCCCAGGTCCTTCGCGATATTGCCCACGAAGGCGCCCCGGGTGAGCTCCTCCGGGATGCTGTACCGGATCTGGGCAGAGGAGCTGTGCAAGAACAAACAGAAGGAGAAGACAGGCGGCAGTCCCAGGGACCGGCCCGCCTTCCCTGCCCTCAGCATCCTTGCCAGGGGGGCGGCCGGGGAGCGATGCCCTCC